AGGGGATGGGCAGGCACTAGGCGTCTGCTGGGTGCCTGCGTGGCACCAGAAAGACCAGAGGGCAGACCGCCAAGTACACACCTTTGGGAATCTGGGGCTTACTCAAGTACTGTACTAAATACAATTTTGAGATACTTGTGTTTTTCCATTCAATCCTACTTAATACTTCTATTTCACTACATTTAACAGGGAATTATTTTACTTTTAAGTCAAAACAGAATGTTCATCTTCCCTGATGTCAGCTGCAGACGTTAGCATCCCTAGCTCATTAGCTTACTAACTAGCATTACTCCCAAAACAAGGACAATATTATTAGCAAACTACATAATTATGCAGAGACGCAGGTTAAATTAATAAAAGCAATGCAGAGGACGAACTCACTCACTGTGTTTGAGGCAAAATGCCACTTTATCAACATTTATGGTAACGTTAGCGTCTCGGGAAAGTTAACGCTCCAGCAACTCCTGTGAAATTTCTTACCCGAGATTGCGTTATATTTCCTAAACTCATCGGTTAGACCCAAATGAAGCAAACAATAATGCATAAATTCAACCTGTGTGTTGCTTGTTTGTTTTCCTAGAAAGCACCCAAGCAGGGTTATGTTAGAATGAAATAACATTTCAAAAACATTTTCTTTTTTTTTTCATTCTTTACTATAATAGTAGCTCCTAGCAACAGTTGCTAGCGACATTTGTCATTTTAGATGAGAGAAATCAAAGTTCGTTGCCCAGCAATAACAAGCCTGTCTTTGTTTACTTCTTTGTGAAATCACAGACCACTGTTTCTGAATTTAGTATGAGCTGACCCTAACCTTAACCCATCATAAACCTCTTACATGCTGTGCTAAAACTTTCCATTTTAGCGTAGCAACAGTAACTAAGGGGAAAGGGTTTAGCTGAGTGTCAACTGAGTACTGTAGATGGAGGAACCTGAATAGTTCACCTCTGGTCGCAAGGGAGCAGTTAGCGTGGTTGATGGAGATGAGGGCGGAGACGGCATCTGATTCGACAAAAGTTTGTTTGAGCTTGTAGCATCATTAGCAAGACTGTGTTTATTAAGAGATACACTTTCAGTCCCTCTCCTCCTTCACCCCCTTACCCCCTGTTGGTGTGGATGAAGTGCCAATCCCATGTAATTAAGTTGCTGCAAATGAAGGCACTTAATGACAGGTTGTCACGGTAACAGTGTAGGATGTTGCCATTGGGGCTGGCAGAGATGTGTTTCTTAACTGCTTCACAGTTGTTGGATATGCTGACGCGTGCACCCTAACGCACCCTCACACTTTCATAAAACACAGGGGTGCTCATGCAGAGGTCATTTCCCGTGCTTTATTGGGTGAAGTCTTGTTTTCTGTCTGCTTTATATTTTCTGCATGCTGACTTCGTTTTCTGCCGTTTCGCGTGTCCTTCCAGCAGGCTACCACTTCACCTTCGTCACACACTCACTCTTGTTTTCCTCTACCTGCCTTCATGGTGCTGTCTGTCTCACACAAACACACGTACGCACACTCATATATACATTGGAGAGTCACGCACAAGTGCAAGCGCTTGAAAAAATATAAATACGCAGACACAATCACACCCGGCAGGCCCAGAGCACAACAGTGGCTTTCCCTCCGCCGTTTCAAGGTCAGGAGGACAAAGTGGTGGGAGAGCTGTTGTTCGAGAGACAAGAAAAGAGAGGAGGAGAAGAAGAGAAAGACGACGAAAGACAGGCAGTGGCCTCTGAACTCTGCGTAAAGTCCAAACTAGCAGGAGGTTCGAAGGATGGAAGTGGAGTGAGAGGAGAGGAACCAGAGAGGCGCGAAAAAAGGGAAGTGGAAGTGGGTTTACACGGCAGGGGACGTCCTTGCCGAGGCCTCCTCCTGCGACCTCCTCACCTCATTCAAACCTCTGAACCGCCTACACTCCCTCGTAAAAAGCAAAATTGCCTCTGCTAGGCACAATCCCAGTCATAATCAGGTTAAGGTGCACAGCAGGTGAATCACATGGGGCGCCTTTTCAGGAAACTGCTATTTACTCGAGAGACTTGGTTGATATTGCAATATTGGTTATGAAACATAAAAAATTTGAAGAGAATTAAAGTAGTTCTTCCTGTGACTGATTAGGTCAAACACAAACAAACATTTGCATTGTATTGAACATGAGACAGAAGATTGCAGTGGTTACATGCTACAGGGCTTCTGCATGTTAAATCCACACATTGATATTCACTGCCATCAGATGCTGGTCTGTTTTGCATGCTGTTACACACACACATATATATATGCACAAACAGACAGTGTCCAGGCAGACAGCTGGTGTGGAAATATGGGCTAAGATAGCTTCTTCGTCTCCATCGACAGGTGACAGAACGTCAATGTGAGGGCGTGCAGCTGTCGCTTGTTCACACAGCGTGTGTGTCTGCGAGTCTGTCGGTGTGTGTTTGAGCGTTTTGTGTCTGCGCGCGATAACTGCGTTATGTGCTGCACAGAGCATTATGCATGTAGGTGTGAATGAGGGTGGGATTTTTATCACAGGCTGTCATATCCCTGCACTTCATTAGAGCTTGGCTAAATGAGAGACAAGGCAGCATCTAGCTGGCAACATCAGCAATCACCATCGTCTGTGTGTGTGTGTGTGTGTGTGTGTGTGTGTGTGTGTGTGTGTGTGTGTGTGTGTGTGTGTGTGTGTGTGTGTGTGTGTGTACGAAGTGCTTGGCTTCCAGCTTCACCCTGTCAGCTCAGTCTATACTCAGACACAGGAACACACAAAAGGCAGCATCAGCAAATCACTGTCACACTTCTGTACAAGCCACAGTACGTTCACAGCATCATCAGTAGAGCAGAGTGTGTGTGTGTGTGTGTGTGTGTGTGTGTGTGTGTGTGTGTGTGTGTCCTGTAACCTTCACCTTGTATAGACTACGGCTAAATGAGAAATGATTTTCTGCCTCACCAGTCTCTTAACCCTCAACCTGGACAACCCTCAGGGCTCATTATTCCATTTTTTATGTTTCATAAAAAAAGAGAAAGTCATTGGTGTCATTATAATTATTATTAATAATCTAGTTTAAGAAATCAATAATACAAAAACCTGTATGTAAATTGATTGCAAAAAGAAAATAGTATTTGCAGCACATACACTTACCTCAACACTTAAATGTTTATTTTCATTTGTTTGTTTTTTTTTACATTTTCTGAAAGGGACTCTGGTGCATAATTATCATTTGATTTATGCTTTTCCCCCAATTGCTTTTTCTCTTTTCTTCTATATTAAAACACATTTCATTTTCTGAGCTGTCATTGTTTAAATGTTGTGATCAGTGATCACATTGACAGCATGGTGACGTTTAAAAAAAAACCCAGAGTATTACTATTAGTGAAAATAGATTATAATTTTAATTAGACTTAAGACAGCAAACCCCGCCTTGCCTGGATCTGCACTGTTGACTACCACGTTCGCTTTTTCTGTGGGTGATATGTATGAGCTCTGTGCATATATGAGAGAAATAATCCACAACGGAAGAAATTGCTGTGTCCACATTAAGAGAAAACAGAAGAAGAGGAAAGAAAGATGGAAGAGGACAGGAGCGTCAAACAGTGTATACGCATACACACACACACACACACACACACACACATTCATGCCACCATTGCTGTGCTGCTGCTGGTGGTGTGCACAATCTGTCAAACATAGAAAAGCAGCATGCATGCAAACATGAACACACAGACTGATGCACAGACACACACGGTTTCTCTATTCCTGACTTTCTCTGTTGTCTACACACACACACACACACACAGAGAGAGAGAGCCAGCTGTGTGGTGGAAGCAGGTGTCACTCTCAGCTCATTACCCCTGGCAGGGTTGATCACTCTGTTTGGAGAGCAATAAGACACACCTCACTGGAGAGATAGAGGGATGAGGGGGCAGGAGGAGGAGGAAGAGGAGCCGGGAGAGGGAGGGGAGCATCGTCCCTCTGCTTTAAGAGATAGAGGGATCGAGAAAGGCAGCGAGTGGAGAAGAGGGGGTGTGCAAAGGAGCATGTGGTTTGTGAGATAGGAGAGAGAGAGGGAGAGAGAGAGAGAGGAAAGAAGAAGGGAGATAGGAGAAGTGACGGGACGGAGGTTTGGAGGAACAGAGGGAGGAAAGAAGAAAAGACGAGGGAGAAAGAGTGGAAGGTGAAATCCAGAGAGAGGCTGTAAAGTAAAAAAAAAAAAAAAAGATTTCAAAATATTCATTACAAAATGGATGCTCTGTTCTAAGAGTAACAGTAGACAGAAGCTGGAGCAGTCAGGCCGTGTAGGTTTGATTTAATAACCCCATGGTTAGCCAAACTTAGCCTAAACAAAGGCAGATGGTTAAACTAAATTGTCCCTGTAAACATTTGTCACTATTTACAGACTAAAGTTCAAATTTGACCCGCCATACTAGCTGTGGTTGTACACTGAACTGTTGTTCTGTGCAATGAGGGATTGTTACTGACAGTACTGTACATTTTTACCTCCAAGCAAAATCGTCTGACTAAACTGTTTTGCTTGTTATTTCCTTGTAAGACCTCCATTTTTCTTGTAATAAACAGAAACCGTTAAGATTTCACAAGAACCAAAGCTGAAATGTCAGGAAAGGTTGTTCCTCTTGAAACAGTTTAGAATAAATTTCATCAGTATTTTGCTTTTTGCTTTTCAGCTGTGTTGAGTGTGCCTCGTTTCCCTGTCTGGGTTTGTGTCATTTAAAAGTGTGTGAATGTTGATGTAAATGTGTGTAAAATATTGTGACAGTGACTGTGTGTGAATGCCTCATTCCTCATGCTCACGTTTAGTGTTTGTTCAGCTAGGAGACGCCATCAACAATTATGTTATTATAGCTCATTACAGCAAGTAGCAGTGATGCATGTACTGTATGTATCCTTCTGATTACACACATTTTTCTAATCGTGCTGCTCTGGTTTATGTCCGTGAACTCATCGTGTGTGTGTGTGTGTGTGTGTGTGTGTGTGTGTTGGTGTTTTGTGTCTCTGCAGGTACGACTACAAGGAGATGCTCCACAACTCCACCTTCTGTTTGGTGCCCCGTGGCAGACGACTGGGCTCCTTTCGCTTCCTTGAGGCACTGCAGGTAAACAAGTGACACACACACACACAAAACACTCTCCCAATATGAGAAAGCATTGTATGCTGTAAATTTGTGCCTACCAGTGAAATTACTGGGAAGAAAAAGAGGTACTTCCCACATTCAGCCTCCCACTTTACATTTGTTTTAATTGTGCTACCTCTAGCATTAAAGGATCACCAAATCATTGCCACCTTAATAGTGTAATTAAAAACAAACAAGACCTTCGCCGGGAAGATTAGCGGCTTCTTCCTGCATCTAAACTGTGTTTTATTTTGTGACACTGGAATGAAATTTCTACAGAAAGTGTTAAACTGTCACTTGACTTTGTGAAAATTGCCAAAAGTGAGGTTTATCATAGCTGCAGGAAAAAAATCTGTTAGAAAACACTTAGTTTTGTCTGTGGTTTAACAGTCATTTTGCTCATGAACAGTTTCAAGTGCCTCATCTCTATGTAGTAACCCCCCACGACTTTAGCAAAAATATATGTTGTAGATGCTAAACCCCATAAAAAGTGCTCCCTTTTTAGTGCACAAGCTCAAATAATGGCACACCAGATATAAAATGGTTACAGTTAATGAATCCTCTTGATCACAGGTTAGCTAGCGTGTTAGCAGTCAGCAGCTTGCTAAGGATTTGAATATTTCACAGATGTGCAGATGATTTTCACTGTGACACTCTCTTGTGTGACCATGCTATTAGTCTAGCGGACTAAATGTACAGCTCCAAGGATTGTAAAAATGTACGAGTTTTTTTCACTCACCTTTACTGGAATGTTTCTGTGTTCTCAAGTTACAAAATAAGATATCGTTGTTGCAGTGACACTGGAATCTTAAAAGGGTTTGACACAGATAGAAAAGTGAGGAATTGTGTCCTTCAGAAAAATGTGTAGTTGAGTATTCAACTAGATTTAAGGGGTTAAAGATGCTGCAGGTAATGTACCATAACACCTCACAATATGACCGTAATAACCTGTGAAGTAAGTTCCACCCATCTAGAGTCATTTTCTAATAATGGATCTGCATTTACCGCCACTTTACTCACCCCTCTGGAACTCTATACACTTCACATCTGTTTTTTTTTTTTTTTTCATCCATTTCCATGACTGCACCGCACTCTTCTGCATTACTACTGCACTGTCCTTTACCTCTCCTTACCGTACACCGCCGTCCGCAGAGTGCACCCACATAAGTGCGCTTATCTCACTATCAGCTGGCACGCACACACACACACACACACACACCCGCACACATACATAACAGCGCACTTCAGTCAGGAGGGAAATATGTCCTCTCCTCTCCTTTCTCCATTTGTCTGACTCACCCCATCCATCGACTCGCACCATCTAGAGGAAGAAGACGGAGGGAGAGTATTTACAGGCTTTGGTCTTCAAATGAGAAAGTAATTCCTGATAGAGGTCAGCTCTGTGTGTGTGTGTGTGTGTGTGTGTGTGTGTGTGTGTGTGTGTGTGTGTGTGTGTGTGTGTGTGTGTGTGTGTGTGTGTGAGTGAATGCCTGGGGTTGTTTGTGTGTCTGTATATATCTTTATGCATTGGATTGTGTGTGTGTGTTGAGGACAGCAGCAGAGCCCCAGGGGCCAGTTCTGGTTTAGCTGACACCTTTATGACCTGGGAGTGACAGGGCCGTCATTACATCAAACCATCACGAACACACACACCTACACACACACACACACACACACACACACACACACACACACACACCAGCTGTTACTTCTACCTCTCCTCTCATCCCTCCATCCCTCTGCCACTCCTTTGCCAAAGGTCACATTCAGCTTCACTTCCTCCCCTCTTTTCATTTTTTGTATATCTATTTATCCACTTTCTTCTGCTTTTTGATCTCTTCTAATTCCCAGTTCTCCCGCCTTCTCTGAGTAATTAACTCTCCTGCACCTGAAGTTACCATTTTAATATTGATGTGTCAACAGGTGCAGCTTAAAGCGTGTTCACTTAATATCAAGTGAAAACAATCCGCGTAGACTGATTGCGGCTGTTTTCTTAGATTTTCAGGCTTGTATAAATGATTCAAGCATTTTTTTTTTTTTTTTTTTAACAAATCAAATAAACACAAACAGAATCAGAAACAGAGCCATTAATCGTGTAATTAAGAAATTCTTTTTGTGAATGTTTGAGCTCTTGTCATTCACAAGTGCTACAGCAGAGTGAATACATGGTTTATATAAAAACCAGTCCCGCTTTTAACTGTTTATTTTAATCCAGAATGTTTGACTCTTTGTGATCTGCTCTCCAACAAATGGCTGCTAATTTTTGTTTTGTATCCATATCTGTCATGATAATACTTCATTCCTCCCTGTCTGAGACTGTATGCAGCCTGCCTGCTTATCTACATATGTTGTTGTATGTTCAAACTTATCTCTGTTTATGTGATTGCTGAGCTGCTGTTTCCGAGGAACATGTTTGATCTTAAATTTTGATCTAAGCAACGTACATGCTCAGGTCATATTTGTGTATTCTTTTTTGTTAGGCTGCATGCATATGTGCATTGGCATTTTCTTGAAAATTAAAGCTGCACTATTTAGTATTTTTGTATTAACAATGGATCAAATTACTTTTTGTAATATGAAAGGACTTGCTTGTGGAGGAGAATCCACAGAGAATTAATAACCCAACTGAATTCCCCTCAGCTCTGTGCAGCATCCTTTGTCTTTTTGCTCCTTGTTTTGGTTTTAAGGCCTGCAACTTTAATGCTTCGGTTCATTCGGTTTCCAGCAGCGGCAGGCAGCTGTTTTCAACTGAAAAAGCTCTTAAAAGTGACAGAACGCTACCTGCTCAGCACCATATCACAGACAGACGCAGTTGGGGACTAGCTGGTGGCCACTTAGCAACTAAAGAGCCCTTGAGTTAGTGGCCAAAAATAAAGCTAAAAAGAGAGTGAATATTGGACTCACATTCATCAGGTGGATAGAAACAGGACTCTAAATGAAAGCTAATGCTGCTCTGTAAATGGTGGATGTATATATTTGATAATACATTCCAGATATTAACTTTATAAGGTGATAATACCTAATTATAACTTCTACTGTTGCCCTGCAGTGGCAAAAAAAAAAAAAATCAGATAATATAGCTTTGAGCACATATTGCAATTTTGTCATTTCCATTTAGAGTTGGAAATTTTAAGAAATTTGTCAGGATAAAACTCAGCAACAAGTGTTTCTCATATAACTACTATCATTGTGATACACTATTGTTAATTGTGATTAACCCTGAGGCGCCCGGTGGCTCACCTTACGAGAGCGGCCCAGTTTAGAGTCCGACCTGTGGCCATTTGCTGCATATCGTCCCCTTTCTCCCCAACTTTTCTATCTCTCCCTCTCTCACTGCAGCTAGAATAAAGGCAAAAATGCTGGAAAAATAAAAAATAAAAAGATTAACTTGTGATAAATTTGACCCAGCTGCTTTTCCCTCTCAGTTGTTAAAATTCAGCCCTTTGATGAGATTCTTACTCTGAAATACCATCTAGCTTGTAGCTGATAAAGTTGGGAGTCTATAAAGAGACAAGTTTTTTTTCAAAAAAAAAAAAAGAAGCAGTAATAAGCCTTGTGCTGCTGACTGTTTTTTATGTATGGTCCACATATGACCAAAGAAGCTTGAAATGAAAGAACGTCCCATTTCTGCCAAATGGGGAATTTAGGTTAGAACACAAAGGGTCACAGACAGACACAGACTGATCAATCATAATACAGTGCTGTCATTGTAACTTAATATGAAAAGAGCTTTACTAATCAGGATCGATATGTAGCAAAAGCACTCATGATTTTATCTGCGTGTCTCAGGCTGCGTGTGTGCCGGTGATGCTGAGTAACGGTTGGGAGCTGCCTTTCTCCGAGATCATCGACTGGAACACAGCCGCAGTCATCGGCGACGAGAGGCTCCTGCTGCAGGTAACAGCCCGAAGACACGCTCACACAAAAACCACACGCTCTGTATATCATCTGAAAACTAAAAACCCTACAGAGAGGCAGCAGCAATCCCACAGCTGAAATGAAGCCCTTTTTTTGTGACTGTTAATAGCTTAAACACACACACACACACACACACACACTCATTCTTGTTTTTCTTTTAAAAAGCAAAAGTCCTGGTGTGTTTTTGTTTTGTTTTCTAGTAACGTGGTTGTCAAGCAAACCAAATTCAAGCAGTATACTAAGTCCTTGACTGCTTGAAAATGTCACTCAAACCCCCGCATTGTTATATGAGAGGACAAATAAGTAGAATGAGCAAATGGATTTGGCTGAAATTGCTTCAACTTCATGGGGGAAAAAGTAATTATATGCCCATTAAATCTTAATTTGAGTGAAGTGTGTAATAATATTGTTTGACATTGAGTTTTACAGCTTAGGAGCTCCATCTCAGGCCAGGATGTTTCAGGCACCAAATGCATCTATCTCTGGATTTATGTTTTTTTACAACAACATGGTGGGCCAAGATGCACAAAACATGTGAAGCACTTTATTAGGAACACCATACTAATACAGGGTAGGGCCTCCATTTGCTCTCAAAACAGCCTCAGTTTCTTCACGGCGTGGATTCCACAAGAATGTTGGAAACATTCCTCGACATGACTGCATCACATCATTTCAACGTTTGCGGGAAATAGCCATTAGAAGATGGTTAAAATGTGGCCATAAACGGCTGCGCACGGCAACAGCAACAACTCCGCTCAGAGAGGCTGTGGCATTCAAACCATGATTGATTGGTAAAACATTCCCCACACCATCACACCACCAGCAGCAGCCTGCTCTGTTCACACAAGGCAGGCTGGGTCCATGAACCTGTGCCCACTGCAGCCTCAGACTTTGGCTCTTGGCCGACAGAGGTGGAACCTGACATACATTTCTGCTGTAGTTCATCTGCCTCGAGGTTCAACATGTTTTCTGCTCACCACAGTTGTAAAGAGTGGTTATCTGAGTTACCATAGCCTTTCTGTCAGCTCCAACCACTCTAAACTCTGGAGACTGTTGTGTGTGAAATTACTTCCCCTTTTACTATGACAAATAAACTCACACTAGCACTGAACTACACAGCTCTTTCAAAAAATACAAAAGCATTCACCAAATGGCTCCTGCAGCATTTAAGCTTTTCTTCCCTAATACTGTTTGATGACTGTTGCACTTATTTTTTGTGAATTCCCTCTGCTGTGTGCTTCCTTCCCCTCATTGTTGTCTTCTGAAAATTTAACTGTGGGACTATAATTTTAAAAATAGGATCTTTTGACCCCCATACTAAGAAATTTGCTAAACACAAAAACTGCTTTCCAGAGATGTTGACTTAACACTTGAGACTTGACTCCAGTCAGGCTTAAAGGAAAAGTCTGACATTTCGAGGAAATATGCTTGTTTGATTTTTCTTGAGTTAGTTCTCACATCCGAACACTAAATGAAGCTGCGGCCAGCTGGTGGCTAACTTAGCTTAGCATAGTGACTGTAAACCTGGGGGAAATAGCTAGCACCTACCTCATCATTATATGTCATTTATTTAATCAGTACAAAAAAACCAAGGTATAACAAATGGAAATGTTTTGTGGGTGGTTATGTGCCAGATAATTTCACGGTCCAGATCATCACATAACTGTCTGTAAAACAGTTTTTTTCATTTTTCTTTTTTTTAAACTTGTGTCTCCAGTCTTTGTACTAAGATGAGTTAACCGCTGCTTCTCAGTAGCTTCAAACCCACCATTCAGACATGAAAGTGATATTGATCCTCTCATCTAACTCACAGCAAGAAGGTGAATTAACGCATTCTCAGAAATGTCAAACCATTCCTTAAGTCACAAAAATGAGGACTTAACTACTGACTTGGATTGGATTTTGTGAGACTGAACTTTCATGACTTGAGACTTGGAAGCAGTAATATTTCAAGTTTTCTTGACCTTGAAAAACAGCAGTTTGATAAACACATACTCAACAAAGTTTCCAACCAAATGTTGTGGTCTAGTGAGGTCACATGTCAAGTGTGGTCACATGATAACAGGTGGTCATATAATGGCTACGAGATGTGGGGAAAAGTTGGACTCTGGGGTGAAATTTTTTTTTTTTTTTGATCTGGTAAAATCCTGGAACAAATCAATGACTAAATAAGAGACAGATCTTAAATGGAAACTGACCTTTAATATTACAAGGAATCCGGTAAGCAAAGTGCTGAAATGCCAAATCATTGTAATGGTCAGTATCTGAAACCTGAAACAAATGCAAATGACTTGCATTTTATTTATGAAAGCTTAAGACTTGACTTGCCCCCAAGGACGTGGAGCTTGTTTTGAGAATTACTTTTAGAACATTTGAGACTTGGACTTGAACCAAATTACCTAAAAAACTGTTGTGTCTACTACTGTAAAAAAAAAACCAAACCCTGCAGTATCTGCTTCAGCCTTCAGTTCACAAGGCCTCCACAGTGTAGTGTGCTTTATCTGTTGATGGGAGTTTCCTGAGTGTATCCTTGGGACCAATTTCAATCTTCCTGTCACCACATTTAAGGTCCCAGATCAATCATTAGAAGCCAGCTTTCGCATTTACTGCTGACTGACTGCTGTTTGTCTCTTGCAGATTCCAACCACGGTGCGCTCCATCCACCAGGATAAGATCCTGTCCCTCAGACAGCAGACTCAGTTCCTCTGGGAGGCCTACTTCTCCTCTGTGGAAAAGATAGTGCTGACCACACTGGAGGTGAGGATTCAAGACACACATGCAGAGAGATGTGCACACACACACACACACACACACATGCACAAACACAAACTCCACCCATCCTTTTGGCCTCTCTGCCTTCCTCTCTCCTTCTCCTCCATCATCAATCTTTCTCTCGGAGGGCTGCGGTGTCACAGCAGACTCTGCAATCTTCGCTTTATTCTCAGGTGTCACTGTGGTCTCTTTGGTACTAGGCTAAAAGCAAAATAGAAGGGTGGAAAGTGTTGTTTACAGAGAGCAGAAGTGAAGTTTCAGCACATGTTCACAGAGAATTTTCTCACAGGCTGTTTTTTTTTTTGTTTGTTTTATTCAAAGTGCACAACAAAGGGTTTCGCGCTTATGTTTTCAACCCTGAAATCTCGACAATGAACAATATGTTGGCACAGTTTCTGTAATAGTATTGTCGATAGAAGCAAAAGCGATAGTTGTAGTGGTAGGATTTTTATCGTGCTACCAGTGGTATTAGAGATGTAGTAGTGGTTGTAGTTGTAAGATAATAAACTGTATTTTACTGTTGCTTCTAAAGCAGTGACCTTAAAGCGGGAGCAAATAATGGCCCTCAGTAGGCGTGAAGGGTGGCTGTACAGTTTGTAGTCGTCCTTCACAGAGAGCAGAGAGTGTGATCAGTGCCAACTCTTTCCAATAGTGACCTTGTCAAACAGCATATTTTCACAACGCTTTAGTCCGTCTCTGTGTTTTGTGTATTCAAAACAGTGTCTTTCAGAAGGAAAACTGAAGTCATGAAACAAAGTAGTTCACTTTGTCTTCCAACAATGTCTAAAGGAAAAAGTATTTGTAGGTCAAAGGCAAGGCGGAGAACCTGTTGCCACAAAAAGAAACAAGATGTTTAGTTAGAATAGTTGAATAGTTGAAATGAGGATAACAGAAAAAAAAAAGTTTCAGGCAGTTGCAACATGTTGCGTTCGTCTGCATGGATGCATTATTGAACAAGCCTGCTGGGCACAAGGTCAGCAGGTCAAGGGGCCCCCTCGGGCCACAGCTAATTTATGTCAATATTTCTTGTTTGAAATTCATAGAGCTCAGTTAAATGACACAAAATGACTTCAAAGAGAGGCAGAGACAAACACAGAGTGACGCACGACGACCAAACGGAGAAACAAAACGACGTCAAACAGATGGAAAACAACCACAAAGAGACACAGAAAGACTTGAACCAGGGGTCATTTTGGGATTCCTATGTAGGAGGATTGGCGGGGGCGTGCTCTCATAATCTGCCCATGTTCGTTTGTGCAGTTAAAAAGTGCCAGAAGTTTGACCAAAGTAAAGTGTGTTTGGAGAAGTGGATGGTCGCCGTTGGAATCCATCCAGCTGCACTCGTTGAAGGACAAAACCACAAACTTTTTTTTTTTTTTACAGCCACCATTCAGGCCTGCGGGGGCTGAAAGTTTCATACTCGCAAGACAAATTTAGGTGGAGTATCACTTTAAGTTCAGAAGCCTCCTTCCTTCCTCTGACCTTTTTATTATCATGTGCATCCACTTTGTTTACAATAACCCACTTTAGCGAATTTGTGACTGGGAAAAAAAAAAAAAACAAGTCATCCATCCAATCCCCATCCCTCATTATTCAGTTTAAACAAGTAGTGTATAGATGCAGGGATAACACCTGGATGCACTGCTGGCTTCATGCTGTGGTTACAAATGTCTTCTTCTTTCAGCCTCCTCTCTCATCCAAGTATCCCATCACGCATTTAATTTCCTTTCTTACTGCACCGCTAAGCCTGGGAGCAAGATTCTCCTCGATGCTACAGTCTTAGTTACGGTATAACCTCCCAAACCTTACATCTGAATTTGACTTTTCCACACACACACACAGGCACCTACACACTCTCAAACACACAGCGCACGTAATGGGTCGTGGCTTCAGTGTCTAGAGTCTGTCTGATTTTAGCCAGCTCTACATCTCTGGTCTGTTTGTTATCTAGCCCTCTCCTCACACACACACACACACACGCGCAGACACACACACACACACACACACACACAGTCAGAAACACATCTCCATATGTCAAGGTGTGTCAGCCCAGATACACATGGCACCACCCAGGCATAACCTTGCTGACATGTTGTCACTCCGCACTAAAGAGCAAGGTGACACGGCGAAAGCCTGTGACTCAGTGTGTATTTGTGTGTGTGTGTGTAGTTTTTCACTGTGTGCGTGTGTGTCTGCACATTGAATTCAGCAAGGGCTAAACGCTTAATCCTGACTGACTGTCCTGTAAAAAGAGCGAGAGAAGGGGAAGAGTGGTGGGAGAAAGGGTGAAGAGGAGAAGGGGTGACATATGTAAATGGCGTTGCTGTCGTGGCAGCCCCCGAGATAACGAGCGACATGGTTTATTCATCCTGTCGCGCCTGTAACCCCCCCCCATCCACACACACACACACACACCCTCCTAACTGCAGATCTGTAATGATACACGCACACACACTCCGATATCTTGACAGATTGAATCTCCTCGCACACATTCACAAACACACTTGGTTTTTAATGACTTCCCACATCCACTCCAAACTGTGTGTGTGTGTGTATCTGTGTGCGAGTGTGTATGTGTGTGTGTGTGTGTGTGTGAGAAGAGATGGCCTCCAAGCTGGAAACACGAGTTCAACCTATCATGCGGCGTTTCCTGTCAGGAATCAGACACGTTTCGACCAATCACAAGGTCAATATAGCCGGATCTGCGGCGCTGGTACACCTATTAAACTCACCTATTAAAGCCAAGTTCACAGTGTGCTCCCGGAGAAGCAGGATTTATCTATCATGCTCTAATTGGTTGATTGTGGCTGTTCTGAGGTGAGATTGAGTCGTCCATCATGTCCCGACTGAGGGCTGCCGACGGGGGAGGAGCTGCAGCCAAGCGAGCAAAATTGCCCCTCATAAGGTGTAAAGGGCTCGGGGTTTTTAAGGTGGCGGGCAGTGGTTTTATAGACAAGCTAACGGATTTCGAGTTAATCTGTTCGGCTGAGGCAAATGGTTATCAACTACCCTCAGGGATAGAGCTTGGGAAAGTTAAAAAAAAAAAAAAAAAACTCAGTCTTTTTTTTTTTTTTTTTTCCCTCTTTCCTCACATCCCTGCCTCCACATGACAAATTCATATGTTGCTCTGTCAGTATTATTACAGTAAACCCCCTCCGGCTATATTATTAACATTTTACAATTCAGCCAGCCATTAGCTGCCCACCCATCGCCCACCTGACTCTCTTTACCTCTTTGTATATATCCGTCCTTTGAGTGACCAAGCCAACAACAACAACCTCCCGATTCAACTGCGGCCATAAAACACAACCGCAAAACCTGTGTCTGTTTTTACTGAAGCAATTTAGCATGGCTCAAGGGCACGGCGACAATATCTCTTTCCTCTGCTCTGCCTCTTCAGCAGAGGCCAACGGCGAGCTGCAGCTGGGGAAAAAATAGTGCCACAATACTCGCACGTCTGAGCGTTTGACTGACTTCTCTATTTGAGCACAGAAAGGATCGAGGCAGGCCTGACTGATTGGTGTTAAGACACAGCTGATGACTTTGTCTATGTTTGGCTCTTCTTTCTTTTCTTTTCTTTTTTTTGTCCTTCTTTATGTTTTGAGTAACTGATGGGCGCAGATGCGTTTTGACTCGCTGATCTGTTTTTTATTTCTTAAAAAAAATAAATAAATAAAATAAAAAAGACCTGAGTTTGGTTTGTCTGCAGAGGAAATATTACACGATACCTTGGATTTCTTTCAGCTCTGCTTTGTGCCACAGCGATTCACTCCTGACACGATCAATAGCCGCTATTGAGGTGGTAACAAAGCAAACATTTGGAAAGCTCAGCTAGCGTCTAACTTTCATCCAGCGCCCGCAGACTCGCTCTTATAACAGTTTCTCACCTGCTCTAATTCACTGGCTGAGTTTTGAATAGCGCACTGAATATTATTCTGAACTGAAATGGGGTTATTGCAAGTTGGAACATTAGCGGTGTTGGTATTCATTCACATTTATGACTATCTGCTTCTTGCCATTTCCGTGTGAAAACTCATTTCACAGTGTGAAATGTTTTATAGGTGTGATTACGAGGCTCATTGATCAAATCCTTAATATTTCAACCGGCATAATCTCAAAGGCAAACGTTTGTTCCTTTATCAGCGCAAATAATTCAGATTTTTACGAGTCCCCCGTGATCCGAGTGAGTGTTGTCTAAAGGTAGTTCTTGTGTTTGTTTAAAGTCGGAACGGCTCTGGAAGGGAAATCCTTACAAATGGCAGGGTGGTTTAGGCACTAGAGAGACTGTGCTGTAATTAAAAGTTTGGTCCTGGCACCAGTGTGTGTCCAACAGGAACTTCGTGGTTGTCAAAGCAACGCAGATCTTTGTAAATTCTCTTAAAGGCCCCTTTGAAAATCTTCATAAGTTAGATCAAACTTCCCCCCTTACAGTTTGTAAGCTTCAGTATAATCTGTTCCTTCCCTTACTGAAGTGTTGATTAATGATTATCTTACACGTCTTGTGCATCGTCTTTTATGTGAGTCAGCATAACATACAGCATTTAGAGATATTTGTTCCATTGAAGAAAGCTTCTAAATTAAGACAAATGAATATGAAATGAAGCTCTGTGGATCTGACTAATAATGCAAGTGTAAGATGGGGTTTTACCAGTCAGGGACGCTCTAACACTAAAAAGTGGAGCTTGACCCAAACCAGGAACAAAAAGTCAGCATGTCTCTGCCTCTACTGCTTTGATTTTGACTATATTTTTTATCTGTCTCTTGTCTTTCTGTCCTCCATCTTTATGGAATTACAACACTAAATCACAGGAATACCCTTTTAAAATAAATGTGGTATTATTAGTCTGGATAGTCTTCAGTTAGTCAGATCAAGTCAGGCTTTTTTTATTAAGCCCAAAATCACAAGTTTGTCTCAGAACATAAGACAGCCTTAGATCCCTGGCTCAGAAACCGAAAGAACACCCAAACCAAAAAAATAAAATAAAATAAAATAAAAATACAACACAATTATTTAAAAAGGAGAAACTTCAGGAAGAGCTACAGAAGACAGATCTCTCTTTGAGGACAGGAAAGCAAGAATACCTAGTGCCTTATGTGCTGCGTAGACAGAAGTAGTAAAAATACAATACAGAGACACAGAGTTACTGCAGTGAAGACAGCAGTGGCAAAGACTCATTTCAGTGAACAAATTAACAACAGCAGGGGAAAACTTATTTTAAAGATGCCACATGGAGTTTTCTTAGAAACAAAAGTCACATTCGGTGTTACTCGCCAAAGTTTTCTTCAAGCGTTTTTCTCCATCATTTGCAAAGCTGCTTTTTTTTTTTTTTTTGAACATTGTAAATCCTGCATTGTTTAGATCCATGTTCACTTCTTTCCAGCTGTTGTTGGTGCATTGCTTCTTCTCTCAACATATTGCTGCCCTCTGTAGATCAGTTAAATAATGTCTCATCAATTGTCAGGGATGTGTATCGCGTTGCCCTTGGTTGCGTATGCACGAGACAAAGCACTACCAGAGGTCAGAGACTCCACAGGGGACCTTTTAAAATCGAAAAAACAGTTGCAGAAAACTCTGCAACAAATTAATGTGACATGTTCCCGACTTTGTATCTAAATTAAAACAAAACGGTCAGACGATCTTATTTGTAATTAATTGGTTGTGTTGTTGTGTGTTCCTCTTGTTTCCTGTGTGCAGATCATCCAGGACCGTGTGCTGGAGCACGGCTCCAGGAGCAGCCTGATGTGGAACAGCCACCCTGGGGGACTCTTCGCTCTGCCGCAGTACTCTGGATACCTGGGAGACTTCCCTTTCTACTACGCCACACTGGGTCAGTAACAAACACACACACACACACACACACACACACACACAAACAGAGACACTACATAAACCGTACAAAGTGCTGTTACGTAACAGCAATCGCGCTTCTTGCACACCTGTGCAGCAGTGAAGTGATCCATAAAGGTTGATCAGGAAAAGTTTCTCCAAAGGTTTCCTCATCATCCATCACGCTGCCGCCAAACACTCTGTCACAGTTTCTGTGGAGGAAAACAGTTTTCTGCAGAGCTGCGTCCAGCGGCGACTGTGGATTTGGAACCTTGTCTGAGCAGCAGAAATATTGCCTTCACCCCTGATCTACTGCCCTCTTCCAACGACTGTATCTAGCAGCAAGTGCAGTGGAGGATTGGGCCCTTGACGGATGTTTGTATTAGTCCTGCTGACACACCAGCCCGTCCATCATTGCTTTTTGAGTCAGCAGTGCTATGGCTGCTGCTGCTGCTGCTACGGCGAGGCCAATTCCTCCCGCTACGGTTCAGCAGCGCCGAGTTCTCCCCCGCCACATATCTGTGACCCAGGAGCTTCTCCATCCCTCACGCCTTCACTCCATCATCATCCAGCGCCACCACAAGCATCCACGCACACACTCGCACGCACAATGGTACACGCGCACAAATTCAGTTGATGGAGCACCCGGAGTGGAGAGCTGATATTAAAGTGGATGGGCACGGTGACAGGCATGGATTACAGCGGCAGGCGAGTTTATTTGTTTGTCAAAGAGGAAGCAATTAAACACGGATGGGCTTTTAGGAGACAAGGTGGCTTGTTGCTGATGGGTAAATGAGTAAAATCAAAGAAGAAGAGTTTGTTTCCAAGTGACAATTCTTCTTGTTCTCCAAGAGCAAATAACAAGACACACAAACATACACACACATACACACGTTCTCATCATGCATATTAACACTCAGACACACACAGCAGGAGCAGGGTTTGTTTTTGTTGCTTCAGTAAAATGGAAGTTTGATGTCGAAGCCAAACAATATCTGTGCTGAGAATAATAAAAAATCCCATAACAGCAGATTTTTAGTTACACTCGTAAAATCTAATGCAATCCAATACAACAGCCATAACCTCCACCTTTACAAAGATAATAATGTTCAGTTTTGACTGACAGTATCAGAGAGGTAACAAATTAACTATGTTTATTATTGAGGTTGTAGTTTGCAGTGGTGTTGAACTGAACACCTCTCAGTACAATGCAGTGCAGTATAAAACCACCTCTAATTACGACCTCTATAATAAGCATATAGTTTAATTAATACCTCTACAAAAGTTTTAACATAAACTGAACATTATAAGCTTCATAATTGTTGAAGATGTGGCAGAGCTGTTCTATTGAATTGCATTAAATGGTACTTGTGTTATCTAATTAACTTTACCAATCAAAGATAACAGTTACTGTAAATAAAAGTACATTTTTAACCATGAAAATCATTGTAATTTCAAATAATAACTGCATTAAAACATAAAACAAAACTACATTAAACTTGAAATAAAAATTAGAGTCGATGCCAATAAAAATGTTTATCGCTGCAATTTCTCACTGCGTTCTGTATCTGCCAAAGCATGTACATGCTACATAGGGAAACAAGTATGTAGACACCAGAGCTGCAATGTTCGGATTTTCTCACTCCACAACCATAAACATTAAAGGGATAGTTTGGGTTATTTGAAGTGGGGTTGTAGTATGAGGTAGTCGTGCACAGTCAGTAGACTCGGATCAGCGTGCTGCCAGTTACGAGACGCAGAGCGATGTGTTGCTGTGCACGAGGCCAGCAGGAAAGAAAAAAAAAAACGTTTTAGACACTTTTAAAAAGACGGCCCACCAACCAACCGCCTAAACTATCCAGTATCCGTTTAAATTGGACGCTTCATGTGGAATGTTTTCAGCGCTTTATCTTCACATCAAAACAAAGTGAAGTTTAGCCAATTCTGATTCACTCAGCAGACCTGCGGCTGCGGCACAATAGAGTGCGCGCTGTATGTGCGCTTGTGCGTAGGATATGCGCTAGTACAGCGTTTGAGACAAATGTCGTACCAAAGGAAAGTGCTGTTTTTTTTGACGGGAAGATAACGTGCTGGAAATATTCCACATGAAGCGTACATTTAAACGGATATTGGATTGTTTCGGTGGGCGCCCTGTGCGCAGCGGCACATCGCTCTGCTAGTGTGCCGGCGCTCCCTGCTGCGTCTCCTAACTGGCAGCGCGCAGATTCCAATCTACTGCAGGTAGTAATACACTGAATGACTTCATGACCTCACACAACCCCACGTCAAGTAACCCAAACTATCCCTTTTTAATATGCTGCCGTAACAGTTTTCACTCCTCTGGGGGCCTGGGACCAGGCTGCAGGGATTTGCTTCCGTTCAGCCACGGGAGCATCAGAGAGGTCAGACAATGATGTCAGGTGATAACACCTGCCTCGCGGTCGATGACCCCGCTTATCCCAAAAGTGCTGGGTGGGGTTGAGGTCACAGATCTGTGCAGGCCAGTTAATTTCTTCTGGAAGTCAGAAACCAAACCACACTCAGAAAAGTGTAGTTTTGTGCACGCACAAGAAACAGCCTTCCCATAACTGTTCCCATAAAGCTAGCAGCACACTGTTTTCTAAATCAGTTCCTAACCTAGTGTGAAATATCAGTGTGTGCTTCAGCATTAAGATTTCTTTAAATTGGAACTAAGGGGACAGCCCCAACCATAAAAACAGCCCTGCAGTATTGGCCATGGCTGAGGGTATTAACCGGCCTCAAGTAGCTGAATCAATCCCAAACCAGCCTGTTGTGTTGCTACAGACATTTAGCTGGTGAGATGTGTAATGTGCTGATACGGGATTTGATAAAAGCCACTGAGAATCATGAGCTAAAGGCAGAAAACAGCATGCACATCCAAAATTTAGAGCTGCATGACAGTAATTCTGCTCCAGGTTTTGTTCAATGTTTCATGAAAGTCTGTTTATGAGCTTGTTACAAATTTACATCCCAGGTGTTTAAAAACTCTGCAGACTCTTTACTTTTTCATTACAAATCACAGGGATAGTTTACCAAGTTTTAAGACTACGTATATTCCTCCTCATAAAAGTTGCTCAGTGGCGGAAAGGAGACTCCTCTAATGCTATCTCCTCCGCGCCATGCTTTGTTGGTTTGGGTTAGATTAGATTTAAATTAGGAAAAGTTGGACGTCCTCTATGATCCGTCTTGCTCAATATCTTATTTCCTGCTCATTTTCAGCCTCAATTACTCTATTCCGACATCAAGTCAGACTGAATTTAAAGTCACATCAGCAGTTAGTCGTCTGTTCATTGGGTAGGAGATACAGCTGAAGAGTTTCCAAAATGAAATATTCAGTGATCAAGAGATCTGGCATTTTCAAAACACATTAATGTTGTTGAATAGTTTAAGACTGGCTTGAAACGTACGTCCCTGACATGTAAATCAACTATATTTTTGAACTGCTGACAGACTCATTGCAAGTAACATCTTTCACTGAAAATAGATACGGAGTGTTCGGAAATGAGTGCTTTCAGTTCTCGTCCGGCTTTATTCTCTTCAGAGAGCCTGAAATTGCATTGACGGCTGACAGTCGGCTTGCCGTGCTCCAGCCAGCGTTGTTTTTCTGGGTTTGTTGAAGTGTTTTAATAAGTGAGTGTTGTCTGTCTGTTGTGTTTCAGGCATTAAACCGTACCCCAAGTTCACAGCGGTCATCCACGCCGTCTCCCCTCTGGTGTCCCAGTCCCAGCCCATACTCAAGCTCCTGGCAGCTGTGGCCAAGTCCCAGTACTGTGCACAGGTAAAGGATTTGTGTGTGTGTGTGTGTGTGTGTGTGTGTGTGTGTGTGTGTGTGTGTGTGTGTGTGTTTACTGCAGCATCCCCGGATACTGATCTCCACTTTGTGACTCTCCCTGAACTGCGTGGCTCATACGGCTGTTTTTGCGATCACATTTTCCAACCAGAGCAACAACAGAGCTCATCCTCCATCCTGTGTGTGCGTGCGTGCGGGTGTGTTAACTGCAGTGGATTGAATTAGAGCGGCAGTTTGTAGCGGTGCTACATCTGTCTCCATGGCAGCGAAACCCCCTTAAGCACAGCTGGAGACGGCATGTATTGATTCCCCTGCTTGCTCCTTACCAGTGTGGGAAATGAAATGGAATTTCCTCCCCAATGGCTTTTTTTTATGTGGATTTGTGTGTGTTTGGTGTGTGTTGGTGTGTGTGTTGTAGTTGTGTGTGTGTGTGTGCTGTGTGCTGTGGGGTTTGGGTGGTGGTGTGTGTGTGCGTGTGAGTGAGTGAGTGAGTGTGTGGGTGTGTATGCGTGTGTCTTTGTTTGTTTGTTTGGCCAGTGGAGTGTATGAGTAAGCGAGTTTGTGTCTTGTGTAGGAGTGATACATTTCCGTGTGAGTGCCATGGAATATACAGTATGAGTGTGTGTGTGTTTTATGTAAGCAAGGTGCTTGTATGTGTGTTTATTTTGTGTCTGAGGTTGTCTGTGTGTGTATTAGTGTACATGCTGTCCGTGTGAGTGGTTCACATGTGGACTCTCTTTGTATCCCTGTGTTTGAAAATGTTTGCTACTAGCGTCAGTACGATGGTACCAGTTCTGATTCCCAAAAAAATAAGAAAAATCTTTGTTTAATACCTTATTTTGTGGAATATAAACTTATAAACCCTTTTTCCATTAAGCAAAAGAAGCCAAATTCTCAAATGTTAACAGGGCAATGGATCCTACACTTCCCATAATGCAAATCTTTTTGTTAGACCTTTCCTGCCTGATAAATGGGCACATCTTTCAACAGGAACTGGAAAAGCTCCTTCAGAACCATTATATTCTATAACAGTCCTACTTCTCATTACTATTAAACTGACTTTGAAGTGTGAAAATTGGTGGAGGGACCCTTTAATGTTCAAGTCACACACGAACTTTGCCTCAATAAAAAACAGTCTGAAATTCAACAAAATAATTAAACTTGGCAGTTTATTCTTGACAAAACAATCTCCAATAAAGATCCCCTAACTCAGTGTGGAGATGTGGTCAAAAGCTCTGGAACAAGTGAATAAGTGGACCTTGAGTGGAAGTTAACATGGACAGGAAAATCTATAGCTCCATGACAGCTGAGCAGACTTCATGTCCTGATGAAGACCACGTGAAACTGTCGAAAGCTCTCTAGAACAAGTAAGCCACCTTGAGTGGACATTGTTTCGGTTCACACTCGCCCGATCAAAAATAAATAAAGCTGATGAGCGAGCGGTTTATTCCAGCGGTCAGCACAAACACATTTCAGTCGATACAAAAGGTTGAGGTTCGATATCCAAAACCCAGCCACACATCCCAGTATCAGCTCACTTTAAGTCAGAAACATAGTCTCTGTCTCATAGCAGCAGGTTGGATGAGTAAACTCTGCTGCCTTCTTATTTCTTATAGAAGTGCTTTTGTGTTTGCAGTCTGCAGGCTGTGCATGCAAAATGGAGAGGCAGGTACACAGCCGTGGTGTTTTCTTCCACTCTCAGCATACAGAAAAGAGGTGAAGTGGGGCGGGGTAAGAGTGGATGGGATGAGGAAAGGGATATAAATAAATTAATGGAAGTTAGACTGAAGGAACACAGAAGGGTGGAGGAGGCTAAATTGGACGCAAGAAAGCTTTTGAGGCGCTTTCTGACACGGTGGACCTCCTGCTGCGTGTGTGTGTGCGTGCGTGCTCGCGTGTGAATGTGTTCCCCACACACTCGCGAAGGAAGCGTCTCTTCCACCCGTGCTGCGTATACATCCACAGTTTCCTCACTCATCCTCATCCGCACATGCAGGCATACATACACAATGCTACCATCAGCCCCCAGAGGAGGGCTGGTGAGCTGACGGAGACACCATCTGTCTTTCTAATCAAACAGGAATAGAAGCCTGTAATAGTGGATTAACGTGTTCCTAGGCTGCGATTGTGTGTGCAGGGATCCAGGCTGTATACCTGTTGTTGTCTTGCAATGACGAACGCTCAGATATAGCCTCATGAACGATGCTTGTTTTGTGATGTATCTGCGTTCATATGGTGAGGATGTAAATTTGCAATTCATCAAACACCTGTATGTATTTATGTCTATTTTCTTTTCTTATACAAGTGACATATCCCCATCCTCCGTGTAGTTCACTCGCACAAACACACAGCTGCTGCAGTCACACCTTCGGGACTCCTTAACACAGACATCCAATTGGCTCTCAGCTTATAATTTGGCAGGTCCAGTCAAGGTGCAGAGTCCCTAAGGAGAACCACTGTGTGTGACATAATTAATGTCAAAATAATGTGAAACTTTATTGATCCCGGCAGGGAAATTCTTGGGGTTCGGAGCATGGTGTCTGCTGCTGCTCTGCACAGTGGAACTGGGATGGATTCATTTACTGACTCGTTCAAGGACGTTTCAGCAGGGCAGAGGTTAGCTGACACACAGCAACTGAACCGTACAGGACTGGATGTTGATGCATCCCTCTCAGTTTACTGTTTAATCCATTGAGAAAACACTCTTTAAATTCAGAATAATTCCTCTGTCTGCTGCCACATGCACGTCGATTCAGCATGTGAGTTACAGCTGCTAAGCTATGATTAGACAATTGCTGTGCCGCGGAGGAATTAGCGAACAGCGATTGTGTCACCTAAACTACATAAAATTTAATATGCGTGAGAAGAACGGGCTGTGTAAATGCGTGTAAGGTCAGGCAGTAGTCATGTCGTGTGTGTGTGTATATGTGTGTGTTCATCATCAAACATTAATGAGGTCTGCTGTCACAGCACAGTCAATGGGGAAGGTTAACGTCATGTGACATTTCCATGTCGGCTGACCCGCAGGTCGCTGAGTGGCAGTGCGAGTCATATAAAACATGATATGTCTGTGGCCAGAAAGTGTGTCTTCTTAATGTAAAACATCACCCGATTGGAGATGGAGTGTGGAGACAATGTGGGCTGGAGAATGTGTTCAGCAACATGTTGTACAATAGTTATAGAAATATGACCTGACAGTGTGGCTGGTTGGTTATGGACTGAATTGTACAAACCATTCTGGAAACATAATTGGAAACATTTTATCACTTTAGTTGCCATTCTGGCTCTTTAACGTTCAATCAGCCTGTAATAAGGTGACATTTGCTGGCCGCAGGGTGTGTAAATGTCACATGTTCAGTGGGTTGATTCAGCAACAAGCTGGGTAGTGTGCTGTGAGTTGTTTTGGTTAGAGGAAATCAAATTAGATGCAGCGCAGGTATTTGGTTGCGGTAATAAGACCTTTCTGTGTTCTTTCTTTCAGATCATTGTCCTGTGGAACTGTGACAAGCCTCTCCCTGCAAAGCACCGCTGGCCTGCCACCACAGTGCCCGTCATCGTCATTGAGGGAGAGAACAAGGTGAGCTGGAACACGCACACACTCTTCCTCTCTGTGATCACTATCATCCCTAATTACATAGCTCATCTTATGCATATTCTCAAACTGTAAATATAGTGTATCTTGGCACATTTTATTCAGTCTGAGAGTTTCTAGGAGTTAATGAGTTTCGATTTGTGCTGCACTGATTCCATTAAAGGACAGTTTGTGTGGTTTTAATTAAAGCTCAGTAATGGGAATAATATACACTGGTAAAAAAAGAAAACATGGCTGAAAGGCTAATGCATATTGTAAGGGAAGATAAGGAAGCAATAATGGGTGAGTGCATATGCATAGTAGCATTTTTTTATTTTAATGTATTTATTGCTGTTTATTCTTTATGTTAGTCATAACTAAATATCTAATTAACTGAGAGAAGTGACAAAAATCTCTCTGGAGAAATAAATTACAGTTGAGTTGTAATATACAGTAATAATATGCAGAACAAATATGCCCTGCAGAGAACTTACAGGATATATTTAATTATGTTTGAGGTTTGATTTTTCTTGATGTGTTCAGAGGAGCTGTTTGTAAGTTTTGCTATTGCTACATAGTAGGAGGAGGAACAGTTCACAAAATCCATGGCTCGGTTTGTATCACTGTTTTGGGGTCACCGTTTGAGGTTTGGTATGTTCTGTATGTTGTTGTTTTTCTATTTTTTTAACACACTCCAGAAATCCCATACATCATCATAAGATATGTAGCCTAATAATCCACCATTTACAATTTAAAAAAAAAAAAAAAAAAAAATCTGTTATTTTCAAGGACATGTCATGTCGTCGTGCAAAAACTGAAAGAATGAGGCAGTTTGGCATTAGGCACATCGTTGTGACAGTCTTAGGTTAAAGCTAGGTGAGATTTTGTACAGCAAAAGGGGGTGGGTCTGCAAAACAGAGCTTTTCATCTCCCACTCTGAAGTAATGTAATGGGCAGTCACAGTTAGGAAACTTTCAGTGGCCCTGGAGGTCCATCCATCAGTAGTAAGAGCTACATAGGATGTGTCAGACAACTCTTTGACAATTCCTCGTCGTGTCTCTCCATAAAGTTCAGGGAATAACCGTGTTCGAGTACTTTAATCATATGCTGAAATTCTGCATCCTCCACCGCGGCATAAGGCTGCATATCTTTTGCTATGAAACCCCCCAATGCTTTCGTTATGGTTTTTGTCTTGTCTGACTCTTCACTGAGAGGCTGTTTAAAAGCTGCAGGGAGTAGAAGTTGTTCTTTCCTAACCAACTCTCTCCTCCTTGACACATTGAATTGACACACTGGGGTGATGTCTCCATAGATGAGCCAACGTGTTGCCGCTAGCATGAGCAACACGTGTTGCACAGTGCTTGCACACAGTCGGTTTTATCTACCACTTTCTCATCATAGGTAGCACTAAATCCAAAAATGCTCCACACAGCAGACCGAGACGGTGCTGCTGGCGCATCCTCTGACTCTGGGCCTCCTTTGTCTTTTCCGCTTGACATTTCCACAACTGACCTGGCCGCTGCACTCGACACTTAACCCCACCACCTCTGTGCCAAATGAAAAAGAACTTCACTGCGTTACTGGCACAAGGCTTTTTTGCGCATGCCCTGAAGCAAACAATACACACATGCCCCAAACTGAGACAAGCAAACCGAACAGATTTTTTCCCATCCCTACTATATAACCAATGTTTGCATTAAGCTGTTTGCTGACCAGTCTAGAAGAAACGCTGCAATTTCAGCATCAAACTTCATTCCTTTACTCGCCAACACTGTGTCCAGCAATTGAAAGCAATCCCTTTGTTTTGCTTCTATTTCTGTCACTTCTTTTCTTCTTCTGAAGTTAGCATGCTAACCAGTTAGCTCTGGCGCAGTCAGCCTATCTCATCACTTTCCGATACCGAGTCGCTGTAGCGTCCAGGCTGCTCTGAAGAGGTAGTTGTGCTCAGATGACATATTATTACCTCTTGTATTGTAAATACATTAATGGCTGAAGCTCTTGGCAAGACTGGCAAGTTAACAGCTGTTAATGCTAATGTTAGCATGTCGTCCATGCAGCCATTTTAAAACTTATTATTTACCTAATCTATATTTGAATGTATGTTTTTGCTGCATCTACACCGCATTTTAATTATGTGCTGATTGGTTTCTCGATGTGTCGATTAACTGTTTGGTCTGTAAAATGAGAATAGTGAAATAGAAAAAATGCTTATCCGAGGTGATGTCTTTAAATAGCTTGTTTTGTTTGAGCAACAATCAAAAACCCAAAGATATTCAGTTTAATGTGATTAATTCTTAAATCTTCTCAGAATATTTTTCATGTAACTAGGAGAAAAAAGCCCTTCAAACTACAGTGTGAGCAAAGGTTTAAATATGACTCAGAGGTTCTGAAAAAACCGATGTCCATATTATATCAATTTTGTCAGCATGTCAGTTGAGAATTATTTTGTTTTTTCTTCTGTTCGTATGACTGGCACTGTCATTGGAGAAACATTTTTTTTGTGTGTGTGTTTTGCTTTTTGTCAGTTAACCCTTCAGCCAGACATAAACCAGAGCCCTGAGCTATGAGCATGCCTCAGTGGCATTTATTATGACAGCCTTATTAGGCTTTTACGCTCTGTGGAGGGGCTGCTGTGTTTATCTTGACTTCCCTGTGACCTCTCCTTGTACAAGTCAAAGGTCAGACACAGAGGGTGCCACTTGCTCTCTTAACGCTGATCTGAGCTTAGTTTGACAATTTCCAAGCTCACATTTAAGGTTATTTTTGAGGAGAGGGAAACCGGGATCTGGTTGCTCATCTGTATTCCGAGACATCAGACTCATCCACCGCTGTCGTCTCCCCATCTCGCTCATGAGGACTTAACTTCACCTGCCAATCACAGGAAGTGGTTTTCACATCAGTGTCAGTCACCCGGCGGTAGGCTGGGTTTATGGTTTACCTCTCCCTGTGGCTCTGAGTGGTTTCTCCCAAGCTGTCAATCACAGCGGGAGGGCTCTGTGTGTCACTGTGTGTCCGTGAAAAGCGAGCAGAACAGGCTTAGCGCACTGACGTTGTGTGTCTGTGTGTGTGTCTGTGTGTGTGTCTGTGTGCCAGGCAGCCTGTGGTTTGTTGTGGTTGTGGCGGGTTCTATGTTTACCGTGGCGAGCCAAGCTGTGTTCCTCCACCCCACAGAGGGAGAGACAGAGGGAATGTTTTTCATCCCTCTGCCTTTTTTCCTGCCACTTTATTCCTTATCCCCTCTTTCTCTTTCATCCTCTTCCTCACTCACAGATCCTCTCGTTATCATTTCTCTTTCTTTCATCATCTCTTTCCTTCTCGTTATCACTGCATCCTCACAAGTTCCCACAGTGCACCTCCTTCTCCCTAATTTTTACAATTATGTAGATTTCTCGTATTTTATCTATTCACTAAGCAGTTCAATCTTATTTTCTGTGAATATAATTTCCAAATACAAAAGCCTCAAGTCTTACTCAAAGCCAGGAATAAAAGCTCTTTCACAATTCCTTTATTTATTGTTGACCTAAAATTATGATTCTAAAAATACCAACCCCAGCCTACAAAAACACAGCATGTGTAAGTTTTTAGCTGTATAATAGAAACATCCCTACAGGTTTCTAAAAATACAGACGTAACATCAGTGTCCTCAAAGGTACTGTAGTTACAGCCTTGACTGTCCTTCACTTCCTCCCTTATTTATGTCCGACTTTATATATCTTCTTTGCTCAACCAGCAAGAAACATACATTTTGAGTGTGTGGCAACATGACATCTGGATGAATAGATCAACTTCAATCATTGAAATCAAAACTGATGAATAGAAAAAACAGGCCTTAAAGGAAGTTTTTTCAGTGTTTTACAGCCTCACTAAATAAATGTTTCCAGTCCAACTACTGCATATGTCATGCTAACTTTGCACTCGCTACTTTGGTTGTAGAGATTAGTCCTCTGCGTAATGAAGCTCCATTTGTTTTACAGCAGTTATTAACAACACATCAGTGAGCCACGGTTTTGCATGGGGCGACATGTTCCTTCATTGTGATGAACATGGGGCATTGTAGTTTATTCACATTCAATACACGCACTGTTCTGCTGCTGTAAATAGTCAGAAGGGCCCCAAATGTGTATTAATCCACCAATGAAAATAGTCCACAATAATACACTATTTACTCCTGTTTGAGAAATGTTTGCTGAAAACTACGGTGCCCAGCTGTTTTGATAAATTACTGACCCTTTTTTTTTTTTTTTTTTTTAAATGAAACTATTTATATGTGAGCTGTTTCTAAAGATTTACATCTTCAGGAGGAACAAATGAGCTCGGGGCTGAGTCACACAGACATGATTGCATTGTTAGCGTTGGTCTTTTCATGGGATTTGTTGACAATACAAGAAAAAACACAGAATAACACCAATCTTATCCTCGAACCAAAACCCCTATTTTCCCCCTTCTGTCCTTCCCTCTGTCATCCTCTCTGCCTCTCTTGCACTGTGGCCAAAAAGCTGGTTTGTGACTGTTGGTTTAAGCCGTGCGAGAATCCCAGCGGCGCTTAATATGGTTTACACACACTGGTGGTCCTCCTCTGTCCTTGCTCGTCAAGTCTCCTCTGCTGCTGTCCTTTAGAGAGGAGGTGAAGTGCTGGAGGCAGATTCCTGCTGTAAGAGCTCACATTCCTGGAGAGCACCAGGAAGCCCCAGGCTTATATGTTGCACTTCTAACATAACAAACCATCTGGGGGTTTCAAACACCAGCCCCTCATCCTCTCCTTCTCCCTGTGTCTTTCCCCTTTTTGCTGTTTGTCCCGCTGTCACTTTCATCCCTCCTGTGTCCTTTCTTGTTCTCTCCCTTCCTGTAGTACGTTGGTATTCTCTCTTACATGTTCTGGTAGAAAACAAGAAGGAAAACATGTAGCGCGGAGCTGGGATTGTTTTGTTTTTCTCTTCATGCCGACAGGACATTACAGCAGTATTGATGAGAGGGAGGGGTACCGCCTCCCCTCTTTCCTCTCTTCTCTCATTTTCTCTTTCCTTTCCTTCGTCGGTAAACACAACTGTCACTCGCGCACATCGGCTCTTTCACCCTGTTAGAATATGAGCGACAGTCAAAACATTCGGCCGCCGTTGTTGCCTCTGGAGTGTTTTCGGAGAGAGGAGAAGTAGATGGCACTTGACCGAACCGACAGCTGACATCAGCCTCAACAGCACTGTCAGCGCTGCACTGTGTGGGCTGAAGTGGGAGCAATATCCCAATTTAAGCTGTTAAGACAGTATGTTTTTTTTTGTTTTGTTTTGTTTTGTTTTTTTGAATGGCTGATTGGTCTGTTGTTCTGACCGCCACTTTTGTACAGACTTTGGTGATCCCCTGCCGCCAGCAGACTACCGTTGTCACTATTATCCAGTGAAATATCTCAACATCCACTGAACAGACGCACAAAATTTGGTACAGACATTCATGGTTTCCTGGCGACGTACCCTAATAACTCTGATGATCCCCTGACTTTTCCTCTGGTGCCACTTTGAGGTTAACATTTGTGGACTTTAGTGGAATGTCTTGATAACTAATGGACGGATTTCCTTGAAATTTTCTACAGACTTTTATGTTCCCCACAGAATGACATGTGGTTGTAGAGTCTGAAGTCTGGTTTGCATCTCTTCGTTTAAATGGTAACACATCATCTCACAATGGAAAACCTGGGTGAAATGATATAGAACGGTATATACTCAGTATTTTTCAACCTTGGTCTTATTAAGATAAGCTGTTATTTCAATTAAGCCCTTTAAACAGCATAAAAATGTTGCTAGTTAATGGTGTTGGTCATTAAAATAAATCTATGTATATGTAAGTTCAGTCCGCTTTTCTTCATTTATGTTTCTAAATTAGTCTGAAATATAATTTGAAGAAGTACATATTTTTATGAGAGATGAGATGAAACTTTATTGATCCCATAAAGATTTTTGTTGAATCAAGCAATTAATAAAATAAATAAATACATTTGAATTTGTTTTTTGTTTTTTTGGATTAATCATTTAATTAATCCATCGGCCATTGATAAGAAAGAAATTGTTGCTGGCTGGGGTTTTTCAAATTGCTGCTTTTGTCTAGATTATTATATTGTGAACTTTGAAGTTTGAAATTCCGCACAATTTCAGCAAGACGTTAGAAAGGCAGAGTTTTAGTCATGGACCTTTGTTCGATGTGAACAAAGGGAGACAAATCGCAAACACCTACGATCATTACAGCATCAGTTAATTTAAGGATTAGTTGAATCACTGACAATGTAACTGTCTGAGGTGATGTGACTCCCCTTCTTTTGGACTGTTGCAGGCTCTGGTGCTTGCAGCAAGATACTGCACTTCTAATAAACTGAATTCAACACCTCCTTTTTCATCATTGTAAATAGAAAATCTTTGAGGTTTGGACTGTCAGTCATGTAAAACATGCAATTTGAAGACATCACCTTGGCCTCCGGGAATCTGTGATAGACGTTTTTCACCATTCAGTGACATTTTACACAGTTAACGGTTTATTGGTAATAAAGGTAATCATTAGTTGCAGTGCTAGAACGGATAACAGGCTTTACACAGCTTGTCAGTGCAGCCACGTAAGCTATTCTTGCATTTTTCTTGGTGTTGTGTTGCTGCCCTCAGCCGTAGGAGTGATGAAGACCTGTTGGGAGTGAGGTCACCCTGCTGGAGCGCAGCAGGCAGACAATGCCAGGTGTTTATAGAGAAAAGAGGTCATCACCGACTATTCTTAAATGTAAATGTAACGGCTTTTCAGTGCAGGTGGTGTTTTGAAAGAAACAACTATTCTTACAGAGGCCTGACCTTCAGAGCTGTGCTGAATAACTGAGTACCAGGCTTTTCAGGCGTGTGTGTGTGTGTGTGTGTGTGTGTGTGTGCGCGCGCACGTGCATACATGTATGGTATTGTGTGTCTACATCCATTAAAGCTATGTATTCATTAGATGTTTCTTGTTTGTGTGGGAGGCGGTTCGGGTTCGAGCACACATCCAGTTTATAACACCCTTCGTCAACAAGAAGCCGCTGTTCTCTCATCCGAGCGCCTTTCATCGCAGCAACAGACCAAAGACTTCCCATCTAAATATCCTCAAGACGTTGATCTTTCCATCCACCCACCAGACCCTGGCCACCTTCACTCTTTCTGCTTCCAGTAAATATTCAAGGACTGTCATGTGTTTTACAGTTTGGTTTTCATCCACCATTAAATATACTTATTCTGTTTTCAACAGTGGAGGAAGAAAAAAAAAAGAAGTAAATTTGTGCCATATGTAGGACACATGACTCACGCTGTATGTGTCTGTCTGCATTTATGGGTTTGTATTGATCTAAAAGAGACAGACAACTCTGCAGCAGTAATGGAAACCTGCATCAGCATTCTATCACTGTTGAAAACAACGGGGAGCAGCATGCAGTAAAGAGTAGGATATTGGCTTTTCTCCTCTTCTCTCTGTGCTGCTGTTTGTGGATGTCGTGGCGTGTTGTCTCCCCTGAATCGCAATGAATTTGGGAGGAACCATTAAAAATGCATACAGTGGATACTGGAAGCAAAAGGAATTTTTATTCCCCAATTCATCATAAGGGGAAGCTCTCGATTTACCAGTAGAACTACTCTCCAACTCGTGAGCTTTGGGTGGTGGGGCTCCACCTTAAAGCAGCCTATAAAGCCTCTAATCAGTATTTTAATTTTTAACATGAGATATGACCACTTTAATAAGAAAGGGTTCAAGTGTAGTGACATACCCACTCCCCCTGTGCAGCCCACCTCAGCTCTACTGAACATTTTAGTATCTTTGAGCTCATTGTTTTTGGCTTTCTGGTCCTCAACTTTATAGTTTTGATTCACTCTCATTCTCTCATAGCATCGTTTTTAGCCACATTAAGCAGCAGTTGTCAGAAAAAGAAGTTCAAAAAACCAACTGTATGCTACCTGCTGAGCACCAAACGTCAAAGTCGAAGTCGAAGTTAGCAGCTAGCTTGTGGACATAATGCAACCATCCACTGATGTTAGGTCTAATAATGTGATACGTTAATATCATTTTCAATCAAGTCCAATGGAAGCTGTCATCTGTGAATTAACATCTCTACACCGTTATTTTGGAAAATATTCAGTGTAATGAAAAAAGGGACACGTCCAAGACTTTGGTCCATGACAAAGGCTTTGTTTTTCAGATGTTTCCCACAGCCAGTTCTTTATTTGTTCCTTCAGCCAATTTAATGTGCTCCATCCAACCAAATTATCATGATTTGTTGCTGTTTGAAGAGAATCCAACTGTTTTCCTTCTAATTATGTGTTTGTAACCATTTGTACTGTCTTTTTTTTATAACCCTCTGTGCTCTGTGTCTCCCCCTGCAGGTGATGAGCAGCCGCTTCTTGCCCTACGAGACCATAGTGACCGACGCAGTCCTCAGCCTGGATGAAGACACAGTGTTGTCCACCACAGAGGTATCTTTTAATATAATAAAGTAGAATAGAAAACTATTCTTTCTCTCTGTCTGCCTGCCTCCTCTCTGTCTCCGGAGTCTGGTCCCCTTGAGACAAAACAAAGTTGCAAACTTTCTTCTTGTACCAAATGCAACTCTCTGATTGCATTTTCTCTTCTTCTTTTTTTTTAATCTTTCTTTCTCTTTGTCCCTGGTGTTTTCAAGTTATCGCTCTGCAGCTCAATCCTTAAATCTCTTAAAACTACTCTAACTTTCACTCCCAGAGCCTTACTTTTTCCCTCTCTGCATCTGCCTTCCGTTCTCTGCCTCCATTTCATTCTCTCCCTTTCTTTCCATTTTCTACTTCACACTTTTGGCGCATGTAATCACACTGTACCTCTCCAATCCCCTGTTCGAGAACAGCACTGGTATGGGCATTTTTGTTCCACATGCTGTCGGGACTGTTGCTGTTTTTTTTCCCGGGGACACGTTTTTGGCGCGGCACCATGGGAAGCCAGATGCTGCTTTGAACAGTGTAGAATTAGATCTCATAAAGGCTGTTTGTGTGGAGGATCAAGATGGCAAAGCAGAGCTGGCAGTGAAGGGAGGATCCAGCCCCAAAAAACCGAATCGACCCGTGTTTCTCCCATGAAGACATTTGGTTCACGAACAAAAAGAATCCCCAAAGTTTTAGAAGCAAGGCAACATCAATGCCAGTGCAAGTTAGGAAAAAATTAAGACTAAAATACCATGACAGATCTCTGAACAGACTCCCCGTCATTTAAAAGTGCTTGAAAAGTGACTTTAGTGGCAATGTTGGCCTCTCACCAAGAACAAAATCTTTGTTTTGTCCTTCTTTTACTCAGCTTTGTTCACCTTTTTAAGTGAAGATGGTGAGGAAGAGAACTGTCCTTCACAATAAAAGTTCTTCTGATAGAAGTCTGAGCACTTTTTGAGCAATCCTTCCTTTGAATATAATTGAATATGACACCATATCCTGGTTCAATTGGAAAGTAGGTAGATCTATAACAGCAACGCACCATCAAAAAAAAAAATTTCCTGTGACTGTGATATCATTGAACTACCTCTCTTTTTTCACTGCAAGCAAAAGAGAGTCAGCGCTTTTCTTCTTTTCCTTTGGGACCTCAGAATAATGTTTATTATGTTTTATGGTAGTTTTTGACTTAAGTATTCATTAATATAAGCACCCTCTCAGTGCAGGATAATGCTATAAATTGTGGTATAATGCAGAGTGGGCTGTTTGTGGAGCCACTGAGGCCTCTGTGATGTTTTCATCTAATTATTTGATTGAATGCTTTGATCGCCGCCACAGAAGTTTGCTGCAGGCAGCTGCTTAGGAAAGACTGCTTTGTATTTGATGAGGTTTTGCCTTTGTTGTATTTTCACTAAAGTGTGTTTGAGTGCACAGTTCTCCCCGTAGTCACTCTCTTTTCTTCTATCGGTCTTTTTTCTTACACAACATGTACTATAAATAGATACTCAAAAATGACATATTTTTAACAAAATTTATCTTAACCAAGTTTTAGTTCTCAACATTTTGTCCTCCAGAATATGTCAGGAATAATCTCTTGCTAGTTTCATCTTGATTAGTTTTTAATTTTTTGGACTTCTTTTAGTATAGGCAGCAAATATTATGTAATATGAGTTATAAGATCAGTTATAAGAGTGGTTGCCAGGTTGAGAAAAATCCCTCTGGCTGGTCCATACTTTGTATTTTGGTAATAGTGCAGTTGTCAATGTTGGCAATCCATTAAAAAATGGTTGTGGGTTTAGGTGGAATAGCCAAAAATAATGGATATGTGGTTCAGATACTTCGGTTGAAGTAAAAAATGAAAGCTGAAAATAGTCAGCTAAAAGTAATGTACAGCTGAAATAGCTAAGGTAATGAATAAGTGGTTGAAATAGAAAGCTAACACTGATGAATGATGGTTGAAATAAATGACAATGGTGATGAAAGGGTGCTTGAGCCCATCTGAAAAAATATGTTGGTAAACACTTTGCACCAGTCTGCACTATCTAAAAAGATCAATTAAATATCCTGCTGGAGGAGGGTAAGAAAGTGGTACCCATTACTCGTATAATAAATGTTCTAAATACCATGTTCTGCATCATGATATGTAAACTTTATATCTTTCTCTGACTAGGTGGACTTTGCCTTCACTGTCTGGCAGAGTTTCCCAGAGCGCATCGTTGGTTACCCTGCCCGCAGCCACTTCTGGGACAGCAACAAAGAGCGCTGGGGCTACACATCCAAATGGACCAATGATTATTCGATGGTGCTGACCGGCGCCGCCATCTACCACAGGTATGATACAGTACACACTTCAGATTGTCCTCTAATCACTTCAACTTTCAGTTTCAGCACGGTACGTCTTTTTACCTCCATATGAAAAAACTTTGACTGTTTTGCTATGCTCTGCTCTTTTCTTTCATGCTCCTTGCTTCTGCTCTGTTCCCCCTCTGTTATACGGGGATCACAGCTCCACTCTACTCTGCTCTCCAGTGTTCAGTCGTCTTTCTTTTGATACAACACTTTGATGCAGTGATCTGTAGATTATGAAAGTAGGTGTGATGTTCAGTGTAGCACAGCCTCGGGAAACAGAGGGTATGTTTTATCCAAAAAAATGTCAATTTGTCTGCTACACAGCGTTCCCGCGTTTAGTTAAACTACAGCCCTGTCAGCTTTAATATGGCTTCACTCAGCTGTGAGGGGAGCAGTCCATTAATCTGAAGTCAGCCAATCACTGCAGCCCAACGCTTAATCACTTTCAATAAGTCCATCATTCAATCCATCCAGAGACATGAAGAATTAGTCTGAAGTTGTGGAATTGTACATGTCATTTCCTCTGTCATCAATTTTGAAATAGAACTCCTATTTTGTGTCCCTAGGTAAAGGCATGTTTCAGCCGAGGGTGTAGGTTTGCATGTGGACAATAGAGACATGTCAATACCAATATTTTCAGAGGACAGAATTGTCCCTACCAATATCTGAGTGAAATCATTAACTTTATGTTTGGAAGGAAGTCATATTAGATCATTGCAATGTGCCCTCCAAGGGGCTACATCTCCAAGACAACCAATTTTAGGCGTACTAGCATTTGATTGACTGAAAGGGCAGGGGCTGTCTGGACACTCACGTCATTTGAGAAGACCACGGTGATACCTGAAGACACCAGAAAAATGTCAACGAATGTTATTTAATCATGGTAGCTAGTGTTAAATAGCAAACTAACCCTGACTTCTGCCTTCTGTGGGCTAGCAGTCCACAGTCTGCATTTTAGTCTAGCAGGTTGCTAGCATAGTCATAAAATGCTGAACATATCAAAGTATGTATAAGTAAGTTTAATTTCTGTTGAAAAATCCTATGAAAATGTCACCATGAGTACTATGACTTTTTTTATGCCTTACTATACAATGACTTTTTTATGCCTTACTGTACTGTGACTTTTTATGCCTTACTATACTATGATTTTTTTATGCCTTACTATACTATGACTTTTTATGCCTTACTATACTATGATTTTTTTATGCCTTACTATACTATGACTTTTTATGCCTTACAATACTATGACTTTTTTTTATGACTTTTTATGCTTTACTATATAATATGTGTTTTTTTATTACTTTTTACCTTTTTATACTATGATGTTTTTATTACTTTTTATGCCTTACTATACAATGTTTTTATACCTTACGATACTATGACGTTTTTATGCCTTACAACACTATGACTTTTTTTATGACTTTTTATGCCTTATTATAATATGTTGTTTTTATGACTTTTTATGCCTTACTATACTATGACTTTTTATGCCTTATTATAAACTGTCACTTTTATAACTTTTTATGCCTTACTATACTATGATGTTTTTATGCCTTACTATGCTATGACTTTTTTATGACTACTTATGCCTTACTATACTATGACTTTTTTATGATTTTTTTATGCCTTACTATACTAGGACAGTTTTATGACTTGTCATGATATGTTGTTTTTATGACTTTTTATGCCTTATTATACTGACTTTTTATGCCTTACTATACTATGATGTTTTTATACCTTACTATACTATGACTTTTTTTATGACTTTTTATGCTTTACTATTCTATGACTTTATTTATGACTTTTTATGCCTTATTATACTATGACTTTTTATGCCTTACTATTCTATGACTTTTTTTTATGACTTTTTATGCCTTACTATACTATGACGTTTTATGCCTTACTATAATATGTAGTTTTTATGACTTTTTATGCCTTACTATACTATGACTTTTTTATGACTTTTTATGCCTTACTATACTATGACCTTTTATGCCTTACAATACTATGACTTTTTTTTATGACTTTTTATGCCTTACTATACTATGACCTTTTATGCCTTACTATACTATGACTTTTTTATGACTTTTTATGCTTTACTATTCTATGACTTTTTTATGACTTTTTATGCCTTACTATACTATGACTTTTTATCCCTTACTATGCTATGACTTTTTATGCCTTACTATGCTATGACTTTTTTATGACTACTTATGCCTTACTATACTATGATT